TGAGCCACCCAGGCACCCCAAAATTTGCATTTTAATTAGTGTACTTTTCAATAATTTCTAGTTGGTTCTTTTTAAAAACTTTGTTTTTATTTGCTGAGATATCCTCCTGATACTTTCCTTTATTCCTTTATACATGGTTTCCTTTAGTTTTTTTAATATATTGAAAATGTCTGATTTTAAGTTTTTGTCCAATAATTTCAACATCTGGGCTTCCTCAGAGACATTTTCTGTTGGCTGTTTTCTTCCTGTGTGTATGGGCCATATTCCCTTGTTTTGTTTGTTTTGTTTTTTATTTGTTTTTTTGCATTTCTCATAATGTTTTGTTTAAAAAACTGGATATTTTAAATACTACAGTTTGGCACTGGTAGAAATCAGATTATTCTCCACCTCAGAGTTCGTTGTTGCTATATGTTGTTGTTTGTTTGTTTAATAACTTTTCTGATCTATTCTATGAAGTCATTAAAGTCAGTATTCTTTGTATTGTGTGGCTGTAACATCTCTGCTTGGTTAGCTTAGTGGTCAGCTGATGGTTGGACAGGGATCGCTTTAAATATCTAGAACCATAACATTGTTTTGCCTGGGAACAGGCTACCTCAGAAGTAGCAAGGGAGAGTAGGAATAGAGCAACTGAAAACATTCTTACTATTCTTACCAAGATCTAGCTAATATTCTTGAATAGACACTTCCTGCAAAGATTTGGTTAATTCCAGAGTTCTTTTGTTTAAAGAAATGACGCACCCCACTCACAAAAAAATTAAAATTAAAAATTCACATGAGTCCCACAACATTAAGAGAGTCAAATCGGGAGAAAAACCACCCTTTTGAAGCCGTGTTCCTGGCTATTCCCCCGATTTGGTCTTTGCTCAACCTTTTTTCATTTTAGCCTCATTTGCTGTATGTATGTATGTATGTGTGTGTGTGTGTGTGTATTGTGTGTGTACACACACACACACACAATACACACACACACACACACACTCACACACACACACACACTGAAAAATTTCAAAATAATCAAGACCTGGTTTCTTTTTGTTTAACAATACTCCCTTTAGTATAGCTCTCCTCTTACATTTTATATAATTAGCAAGAGACCAGAGGGCATCTCAACACTTTCCTTAGGAATTTCCCTAGATAGATCACCTAATTTATTGCTTACATTTTCTACTCTCCAGGTTACTGTAAACAATAGTGTTATAGAACTTTCTGCCACTACAAAATAAGTATATTCTTTCCTCTACTTTCCAATAACATTTACATCATTGTCCTACAAATCCTCACTGTACACACCTTATCAAAGACCATGAAGCTCCTATTAGCAACTTCTTCCGTACTGTTCAATTTACAATGTTAGTTCTCCCCAAAGCCCACTGCCTGGTTCTAAAGCCAAACATGCATTTTTCTTACAGCAATATCTCAACTAACACGTACCAAAATTTGTTTTATTTATTTTTGCCATTTATCCCCAAAATTTGGCAGTTTAAAATAGCAAACATTTATTATCTCACATTTTCTCTGAGCTGGGACCCTCAGAGCAGCATAGCTGGATGTTTCCAGTGTGGTTTCTCACTTGGCTGCAATCAAAGGGTCAGCTAGGGTTACAGTCATCTGGGATTTGATTGATCTAGAGTATCTTCTTCCAAGTTCATTCATTGGTTGTTTGCAGGAGACCAGTTCCTCTCCATGTGAGTCTCTCTATAGAGCTTCTAACAGTATGGTCTCCTCTGGAGTGAGTAATAAGAGAGATTGAAGGACAGAATAGGGGATGGGGAGTGAGGGTATGGGGGGACAAGAAACACTAACATTCAAGAGTTACTTGATACTTTATTCTTTTGTAACTTAATCTTGGAAGTGACATGCTTCTTTAGTATGCTCTTGATCACCCATACCACAGCTGGTGTAACATGGAAGAGAGTACACAACAGAATGAAACCAGGAGTTGGAATCATTGAGGAAGCATCTTGAAACTGGCTATTACAAAGAGCTTGTTAAACTTTGAATTAGTTAAATTTGAAAAATGAGACGGGAAAAAAGTTGTTTTTTGTCTTCTTGGGGCAATAGACACTATTTCCATGTGGCAGCATTCTCTCTTCTAGCCAAATATTACTTGCCTGACCTTTAAAAACATTATGATTCCTGGTCTGTATCTCTAGTTAACTCATTTGCTTGTGCACATAATCTAAAAGGCTCAGTGACTAATCAGCAGCATTTTCTTGGTCTCTTTGTCTTTCTCTTTTTTCATTAATTAAACATACACGTATTTCCCAATACAGAGGGCCAATACTGAGTACATGAAAAGAATAGGCAGCATTATGTATTCTGCTTTAAACTTAACTATAAACTCAACCCTAAAGTTGTAGCCCTAGGGAGATGACATGAATCCAGATATGTTTCTGTTCTTTTTTTGGTAAATTTAATTATTTTGAATTTATAAGTTGACATTATTCAATAAATTGTAGGATAGTTAAACAAAATACCTAGAAGTAAATCCAGTATCTCCTTTTCTCACATATTACAAAGCAAAATTGGGCTTGAAAAAAGATGGAAAAGAATGTTCACAGAAGCCTTCAACAATTCCTGTAGGTAATAATCAAGAAATGATACATACTGGGAATCCCTATGTATACAACATGAAAATTTCTTGTTTTAGTGAATCACGTCATTTAAGGTACATGTGCTAATATCGCCTATTCTGGACCAAAAAGTATTTACATGTACTTAGAAATTAGGTCCTTTCTATTTTTCTATTAGTTAATAATTTTATGCTAACATAGTTAATATTTTTACTTATTTGGCAGTTTGTGACTTAAATAAAATACAACTGCTCAGTCTGCATCTTAATAGCTAATGTTTACTAGACTGTTAAAATGTGCCAAGTACAGGAAATCAGTATTTTATCTCCAATCCTGTGTAACTTTAAAATATCCTGTGAGCAAGCTCTATTATGATTTCTAAGATTCTGTTATCATTTCCATTTTTATGAACAGAGAAACTAAAGCGTAGAGGAGTATGTGATTACCCTGAGCTCATAAACATGGCTAAGATTGCAACCTATAGCTACGCCTTTTTTCCCCCAGTACCTAAAAACAGTAGTGCCTCTCTTCCCTATTGGGTTCTAAATGAATAAATGTGAAGGCTAAAATGTTATTTTTTTTTTTTATAGATCCACAGTTCCTTCTCTCAGATGTTTTTTTGAGAATTTAATTTTTTTGTTTTGAAAGAGGTAATATAACCAGGATGTTTATTATGTAACATTTCCAGCAGGTCCAAAACAGTACCCTGTGATCAAATATATGGATACTTCTGCAGGACTATAAATAGATTCATTTCAGCCTAGATCACATTTTGCTATCAGATTTGGTAGTGGTCATGGTAGAGACAGTTTGTTGCTTCTCCTCACCTCCAAATAGTACATGTTTTTAAACCATTTCACACTTAAAAAAATTTTTTATCTATATTTTTTATTTTAGAGAGAGAGAGCATACACAAGCTGGCGAGAGAGCTTGTTGGGGGGTGGAGAGAGAGAGAGAGAGAGAGGGAGAGAATGAGAGAGAGAGAGAGAATCCTAAGCAGGCTCCACACTCAGCATGGGGCCTGATGCAGGGTTCAATCCCACGACCCTGGGATCATGATCTGAACTAAAATCAAGAGTCAGACACTCAACCAGCTGAGCCACCCAGGCAAACTGCCGCCCCCCCCACCCTTGTATTTTAGAGCCATGGATCTATAACAGTAGATGTTTTGGGGAACTTGTCTTCAAATCTCTTAGACATGTGCTTCAGCTAATACTGAACCCCAAAACTAAAGAGACTTAATCCTTCAGTCTCAGACAGCCCTGGATCAAGGCATGCCTATTCAAATAACACTAATCTGCCTGGGTAAGAGTTAAGGTATTTAAGGAGCAAAGGCTTAGTATCTCAAGGTTCAATTCTAAGAGGAAGAAGTATGCAGCCTAATCACATCTGCATAGTTAATCCTTTCCAATTTACCAATAAGTCTACCTCTGAAGGAGCAGAATAAATAAAAGGATTGGAGGCCAGAAGCACACGTGTAGAAAAACCACCACTACCTAGTCTCCCCAATACCAAAACTCCTTATCACTATACTGTGTTTACAAGTAGTCTGTCCTTATTCCACACCTCTTATATAAATCATTCAGTTGTTTTACCTCTTGTACAAGTTCAACCAGAATTGTATATCATTGCTGACCTTCATTATAGTTATAGCAGATCAACATGTTTTGAGGTCAAGAATTGATTAAGACCCTCAATAATGGTATTGCCATTTTTATAGGAGAGTCTTAATAGATACATGCTGAAATATTTAGGAGTGAAACGTCATAATTCTACAATTTGCTTTCAGTGGTTCTGCAAACAAAAAAGTTTAAAAACTAAGTATGGTCGAATACTAACAATTCTTGAATCTTGTTAGAAGCTGCCTGTGTCACTGTAGAGTTCTTTACCTTTTCTTTATGATTGGAATTTCTCAGTGTAAGTTGAGGAAAGAAAAATTTTTGATGACCTTCAGGTTATTCTATATAGGATTCTATATAGAATACACATTTGATAGAATTGAAAATTTTAATGGTAATAGTTATAAGAATTTAGATGTTTTGTTTAATACTTAATACATGCACTTTGTATATTAAGTTAGAAATTGCCTAGTTACAATTTATGTTCACATTGTGTATTAATATCTAGTAGAATACCTTTGAATTAAAACTGAAAATAAGCTGTTTTGCTTCTCTAATCCTTTGTCTGTATTTTAGTTTGGAACCAAAAGTGTTTGTTTTTAAGAAATGATTAAATATGCCAAGTTTTGGGTTGATGTAATACTAATTAAATCTACAAGGTTTCTGTTGCTAAGTCCTAGAAACCATTAGCCATTGTGGACTGAACTAAAAGACTTCTGAAACCATTAATTTTTAATAAAAATAAATTTAAGTGTTGGTATTTTGCATTTCTCTTTTTTAATGCTTATCATATTTATTTCTTCCCTAGATCTTCCTCAGAACTGTGATCCTAACATTCCCTTAGTTGCTCAGGAATTAATGAAAAAGATGATACGTCAGTTTGCAATTGAGTATATTTCAAAAAGCGGTAAAATTCAAGAAAATAGAAATGGTTCAATTGGACCAAGTCTAATATGTAAAAGTATCCAAATGAATCAAGCAGAAAACTCCCTTCAGGAAGAGCAGGAAGGCCCCTTAGACCTCACTGTGAATCGAATGCAAGAACAAAACACTCAGCAAGGTAAGACTGTGTGTGTGTGTGTGTGTGTGTGTGTGTGTGTGTGTGTGTGTGTGTGT